ATGTATATATGCATACATACATACATATATATGTTATATATATATATATGTTATATATATATATGTTATATATATATATGTTATATATATATATATGTTATATATATATATATATGTTATATATATATATATATATATATATATATATATATATATATATATATATATATATATATATATATCCATATATATATCCCTGTGAAAATATGATCAATCTGTGTTCCACGAGTTAAATCTGTACTGAGAAAAATGAGTACTCAACTGCTGGTACAACTGACTATACAGTAGCATTTCTAGGACACTAGCTCGATCATGAAGGGCAACGCGTCACCGATATGTTTTGGGATATATATAACACCACAGCTCTCAAATCAGGAGCTTATGCGGGCTATTCATGCCCGTGCCACCTCTTGGGTGGCTTAAACTTTATCAATCAATCAAATCAGGAGCCACAGGGAAATCTTAAGTTTGTTCATTGGAAGTTCAAAATTATGGTTCATATTTGGACACCAGGGTGACGACCAAATTATACCGACTTAAAAAAAAAGGCCAAAAAAATGAATAGGTAATACAATTATAGTCAATAAAAAATATAATCTCTGCATTGCTATTGATATACACAAAGAAAAAATGCAGTTTAAACTCCAAAAGCAAACTTTAACAAGTTAAATGTTTAGAAAAGTATATACAAAATAATGATAATGAAACACAATGATTAACATTATTATGCTTATCGTAAGCCAAGACATATATACATTCATGAATAACTCATGCAACATGTGAGGCGTTGGGGGGAGGGAGGGAGGGAGGAGGGGGGTGTTTGTCTGTGGGGGTTGGCTCTAGAAAGGAAGGGGGGGGTGCGTGGCTCTGTGGGGGTGAGACTCTGGAGAAAAAATATCTTATTGCTGCCCCCAGAGTTGTCTCAGATGCCGACCAGGAAAAACTCATCACGTGATCTGTAAACCTTCTCAACCCCCCGACAATCACAATCATTTTCCTCCACAAATTCCTTATCAATTCACACACGATTTCACCGTGTGCAGAAATGTTACCTGTTAATTTTACCTACGTGAAATTTTATTTTATTAATAAGTGCTTATACTCCTCCTCACTCAGACTGGTGTTGTGTTTTTGTTTATCGAAAAAAGACTTCATTTCTTTAATAACTGTTGCTTGAAGCTGTTATACAGAACTTGTTGCATAAAAAAAGGTTCTTAGAACTTCTGTTTTTCCATCTGATGACAAGGTAAATGTCTCACCAATCTGTTACAATCTCACGTGTACGGAAACTATGCCACATAATATATTGTCTGGCAGAGAATTCCGAGTTTGTATATATTTTTTTGTTTATATCTGAAGACTTTTAATAAAATTGCACACATGATTTGTTTATTTTTTTATAACGTCAGGGACCTCTCATCCAGCACAAGTGGTCTTAGCTCTGAGGCTAGCTCCCGGCCCCGGCTCCGGAAAACAGAGGCAGGCTCGTTGTGTGAGAAACAAGACAAATTAGAAACAAAAACTTTTTGAAGTGGTGAAAGTTTTTATGAACGAAAGGTCTAATGTGTTAAATATATGTTAGATAAAGCGAAGTTAAAATTAAGAGTATATTGATGTAAATTTTATAAGATTGGATGTTGAACAAGATGAGACAATAGAAAGAGAATGTAATATACTCTTAATATATATCTCTTCCTATCGTCTTTTAAGATATTTTTTGTTCCTGCAGTTTCTGACAAAACAGCTATAGTCCCAGCTGTGTTTGAGCACAAGTGACAGGATGAAGAACCCAGCGGGTTTTCTTCCTATTGGGGAGTGTTGTACATATTGCTATGGCGGTGAGTCCATTCACTGGACGTCTGCTTGATTGATACCTGGTTGATGGGGTTCTGAGAGTTCTTCTGCTCCCCAAGCCCGGCCCGAGGCCAGGCTCGACTTTTGAGAGTTTGGTCCACCAGGCTGTTGCTTGGAGCGGCCCGCAGGCCCACATACCCACCAAAACCCGGCTGATCCGGAGACGAGTGGCGCTGCCCAATAAACTCGCCCCTCGGGGCAAAATTTAATAATATTTAGCTATCTTAAACTGCCAGATGGACCAGCTTGTCTAATATCCAACCAATGAGGGTGACTTCTTTCTTCCAAGCTGTTTCAGGTCAGCGTGTGACGCCACGGGCCTTCCTTACATCAACAACGGACCACTGCACCCCAATATCCTCCTACTGGATATCCATGATGGACAGTTTGGTTACTCTACGGCTGTTAAGGGTGGCGTTAGGGTATACACTGAGGGGGGAGGGCGGGGCATGTGTTAGTAGGGAAGAGGTCTCGGCGGGTGTTGGGAGGGTGGGAGGAGGCCCGCGGGTGTTGGGAAGGTGGGAGTAGGTCCGCGGGTGTTGGGAAGGTGGGAGCAGGCCCGCGGGTGTTGGGAAGGTGGGAGCAGGCCCGCGGGTGTTGGGAAGGTGGGAGCAGGCCCGCGGGTGTTGGGAAGGTGGGAGCAGGCCCGCGGGTGTTGGGAAGGTGGGAGCAGGCCCGCGGGTGTTGGGAAGGTGGGAGTAGGCCCGCGGGTGTTGGGAAGGTGGGAGCAGGCCCGCGGGTGTTGGGAAGGTGGGAGCAGGCCCGCGGGTGTTGGGAAGGTGGGAGCAGGCCCGCGGGTGTTGGGAAGGTGGAAGTAGGCCGTGCACTATTAAAATAACCTGTGATGCAGGCCGGAGTGATACACACGCCAAGTCAATCCAATGAAAAATAAAAAAAATAAACTAACTATACATTTATAATTGATTAAGCTTAACAAATTTTAATGTGCATTATTAATTTGCACGATTAAAAACATTAACAACATAGCCCGTAATAATTATTCCATACTATATAATACATAATTACAAGTCCATTCATGACAGGATGCTGAATATTTGAAAAATACAGTTTAGACAACAGTGATTTGTTCAGTCATATAAAATACAGGATGCATAACAGATAAATTTAAGTCATCTATTCTCTAATAGCATCTTTTTAAAGACATAATCTAACAAAATAACATTGTTGACATCTAGGGAGGTGACGTATATTGGCCAAGAACGAAAGTCAATAAGTTAAAAAGTTATATTTTAAACTTATAGATTAATTTAAACTGTTTTTTTTTTAGATATTTGCACTCTGCCTCTCAACCGTATGTTGAACACAGTCTCTCAAGGAGCTCCCAGGGCGAGATGAACTGCTGGATCATACTGTCACGGTGGGACAGTTCTCCCACGGTGTTCAGTAGGGGAGGTGTGTGCCCGTCAAGGATATTAGACGCTGTTGACCAGACCACACACTAGAAAGTGAAGGGACGACGACGTTTCGGTCCGTCCTGGACTATTCTCAAGTCGATTGTGAGAATGGTCCTGGATGGACTGAAACGTCGTCGTCCCTTCACTTTCTAGTGTGTCGTTTGGTCAACATATTTCAGCCACGATATTGTGACGCCTCGTCTGCAATATTAGACGCGTTTGGACGTATCTGTTGGCTAGCCATCTACGGGGCCAGACGGCTAAGTGGACAGCGCTCGGTATTCGTAATCCTAAGGTTCAGGGTTCGATCCCGGCGAAGGTGGAAACAAGTGGGCACATTTTCTTTCACCCTTATGCACCTGTTCACCTAGCAGTAAATAGACACCTGGGCGTTAGACAGCTGCTACAAGCTGCTTCCTGGGATGAGTAACAAAAAGGAGGCCTGGTCGAGGACCGGGCCGCGGGGACGCTAATCCCAGACATCATCTCAAGATAACCTCAATATAAGATAGCCTTCTTAATGACCCACCTTCCCATTCTCTCTCTCTCTCTCTCTCTCTCTCTCTCTCTCTCTCTCTCTCTCTCTCTCTCTCTCTCTCTCCTCACAAGCTACAGAGGATTATTTAATTAGGCCGAAGACGCTGAGGAAATTAGAAGGGCTAAGCAGCAACTTGACGGAGTTAAGTTAAAAATTGAATGAATTATAAAGTTATTTAGACGAGGAGATGAGAAATATCTCTGAAGAAAACTTATAGGTTAAGCTCTTTGTTCTCTACCCTCCCTCCCAGTCCAGCCCTCTATCCCTTTTATATCCCTTTCTTTCTCTGCTCCCTTCTGCCTCGCCGTTCATCTCCTCTTACTTTCCTTCTATCATCTCCCTTCCCACCTTTCATATTTTGCCCCGCCCTTTCCTTCCTTATGCCACCTCCCTTCATCCTTATTCAATGGCTCTTCACTATTATTATTCCCATTATCATTCCCTCTACCAGCCCTGGTCCATCTTTCATCCAGCCCTGGTCCAGATTCCTGTGGTCCCGGGTTCGATCCCGGGTGCTGGCGAGAAACAATGGGGAGAGTTTCTTTCACCCTGATGCCCCTGTTACCTAGTAGTAAATAGGTACCTGGGAGTTAGTCAGCTGTCACGGGCTGCTTCCTGGGGGTGGAGGCCTGGTCGAGGACCGGGCCGCGGGGACACTAAAGCCCCGAAATCATCTCAAGATAACCTCAGGATAGTCCTTCCATCCCTTTTTCAGTCCTTGAAAGAGGTGTCTAACCAGAGAGAGATGAATAGTTGAGTCCCTCATCGCTCGGTCCTAGGAACGTCGCTACTGTTCCTAATTGATGTGAACGACCTATCGGTAGGAATGAGGTGACGAGGAATGTAAAACTGAGGACTGCAGTGAGTTGCAGGAAGACCTCGACAACCTCCAGGAGTGGGAAAACGAATGGCTGCTGGAGATCAGTCCATAGATGTGTTAAGGTACTGAAGATGGGAGAATGGAAACGGAGATCTCCGCTATAAGGGGAAGACAACTGCAGGAATCGGAAAAACAAAATATTTTGGGGTGGATCTAATACCATCATTAATACCGGAGGCACATATTAACGTGGTAACACGGCAAACATTAAAATATTTTTATAACTCTTTGTACTCTAAAGAAAAGAGTTTTAGGGTTTAAAAAGAGTTTCTTTTAAAACTCGTTTAAAACTCTTTATAAGAATTCTTTCCAGGCAAACTGCGAAACCTATGCTTCGCCGATTCTGAAATATGCAACAACGGCCTGGAATTCGCATCTTGTGACCCACACAACGAAAATGTAAAAAGTGCAGATGTTAGCATAAGAACAGTAACAGAACTAAGAGGGAAGATTTACAAGGATAAGTCAACTGAACTAAATCTCACAATCCTAGAGAAGACAAGAACCAGAGGCGACATGATCACATCACAGGAAAAGTTGACCAAGGACAACTTCCTTAAATTGAGAAAAAGTAAGTCACGAGAACGAGGGTGGAAGCTGGAAACGCAAAAAAGTCTAAGACATGTCGGTAAATATTAAATTTGTGACAAAGCGGATATCATGTTTATCATGATAAGAGGTAAGACGAGAGGACATAAATGGAAACTAGAAACCTCGGATGAACCGTAGAGATGTTAGGCAGCATTTCTGCAGTGGAAGAGTTGTGGGCAAGTCTCGTGAGCTCAAAGGCCAGGTACATGAAGCATATATCATATTTATTCATTAAATTTCATCTAATAAGAAGCAAGAGCATTTAGAGTCGTGAGAAACGACCGGTGACTAAAATGTGGGATCCAGGAGCTAAAGTTTACATTGCTGCAAACTAAAGATGATCTTATATTCACGTGAGAACATAGGTCCTCACCTGCTCTCGGTGATCACGAGGATGGACGTATTTGATCCGGTTTCGATTTCCTGGAAATTCGATGTTTTTGGCTACGTAACCTTACATCTGATGCTTCTGTTCACTAAGAAGTATATAGGCACTGGCGAGCACGTCAACTGTTGGGGTATGCATTCTGGGGAAGGTCAGTCTCTGGCCTAGTGGGGACCTTAATAAGCTTAACAGGTCTCATGTTTCCGCAATAGCAAGCAATATTTACAGAAACGTGTCACTACAAATTGTATTAGTTTACCACTATGTAAAATTAAAAGAAAACTAAAATATTGTTGTTTTCTGTGTATACTACAGGGCTAACTCTTGTAAACTCAAGTACATATGATATTGCTCCATATGATTGATCGTACTAAAAATAAACACATTTTTATGTCTAATGTTATTACCAACATTACAGATGATCTTTTTTCGCTATTTTATACAATTCTCTTATATATTTTATTAAATTGTGTTACAATTTGCAGATAACTTACCTTGTTAACATCGTAAAATGAAAACAAATATTAAGCTGTTTGAAGCAGACTGTGTCTACACACAAGTAATTCTTTATGTAAAATTGATACGCTACCAATATTAATAACGTTTGTTTTATCATCATCTACAAAATACATACGCCGGAACGTCATTTTGGGGCACCGGGAATAGAGTAATATATAGCGATATACGTTATGTTAGATTTTTTATTTGATTTATAAATACAAGAGTTCTTATGTTAACCAGACCACACACTAGAAGGTGAAGGGACGACGACGTTTCGGTCCGTTCTGGACCATTCTCAAGTCGATTGTCTCGATTGTCTTGATTGAATCAAGACAATCGACTTGAGAATGGTCTAGGACGGACCGAAACGTCGTCGTCCCTTCACCTTCTAGTGTGTGGTCTGGTCAACATACTTTAGCCACGTTATTGTGACTCATCGCCCTCAAGAGTTCATATATTCTTGTAAACCCACTAGCACGGATGGCGTTTCGGACGGGTCCTTTAGCTTAATTTTCCCTGGAATACGACCCGTCAAATCTATTAACAACCAGGTTCCCGACTGACTGCTGAACAGAGGCGTATTGGTAAAGATTGGCGCCTAGTCAATCCTCCTAGGCTAAATCGTTACGCGCAGTGATACCAGATGACAACATGTTTTGTATTCTACTGGGAATACAGTTTCCTAGGAGCTAACGGAATTCATCCGAACGTTTCTCTAACCAATAAAATTAGAATGCAGGAATAAAACGTTGCAATAGGTCTATGCTGGCACATGCAAGTCCTATTTCTACTTTAATTATAAATATTTGTGTCTTCTATATATACACTCGCTAGAGCAGCCTTGGAATATATACGTATTAGAGAAATCTTGGAATGTATATTCGTATTAGAGAAACCTTGGAATATATATGCACTAGAGCAACCGTGGATCATATACACACTAGAGAGACCTTGGAACATACACACACTAGATCAGCCTAACTGGAACACATACATACTAGAACCGTTCTTGGAACACAGATAAATAGGAGCACTTTGAAATATGTGTTTCGGTGCTGGTCCTTAGTACTATAACATAATCACCGATATATACACTTAAATGTTTAATTTAGTCCTGGACTATGTTCTGGACTAGTCAGTAAGCTGTTTGGTGTGTTTAATAGTCTTCTCGTTGTTGGTAGGGCTTAACCGCAACACCAAATAATAACGAACTCATAACACAGCGTCGAGAAACGAACCTATACATAATAACAAATGCATGAGTTAGCCAAGTAATTCACAAAACTGAGGGGGTTACGTGCTCTATTACAACTCATCGTTTTCTCTTATGCGTCAAATATTAGAAGCACGAACTAAACTAATGTTTTATGATCTGAAGAAATGTTTTTCTGTTAATTTTTTCCACTTCGTAACAAAATATTTTGCCTTGAATTAATGCAAGTTTGCTGGTATAAAGATAAAGTTTATCTTGTAAAGTAAGTAATTTATTATAAAAGAACAGGTACATTGGACTTCTGATAAGAGATAAAATCAATGCGATATTCTATTTATTTTTGAGCTAGTTATTTCGTTCCCCGGCAACTTTCTAAGTCTTTTTCTTTATCTAATGTACACTATTAGGCTAAGTTTGACTTCATTTGCTTGGCTATTATTTGTCAAGCTTAATTAAGAATTAATAAAACAGATAATGCGCGTTTTCTATAACTAAACTACTCACGAGAGAAAACGTGAATATTAAGTACATTCTCAGTTATGCTCAGATAAATTATTTTATACTGTAAATAAACCAGCGAATGTTGATGACACAGCAAGTGCCTTTCCGTCCTAACTGGGACCACTAAAGACGATCCAGTCACATCACATTGAGAATTAATTCTAAATAATACAGAATAGGTATAGAGACAAGATGTGAGTTCAGACATTTGACGCAGTATCCTAAATCTAAGAAAGTTATTTAGGAACACTCGTCTCATCAAGACTGCGTTGTCGGGGAACGTTGGAGTCCGTGTGCATGACGGCTTCACCGAGCACAGATACAAACTTCACCAAGCCTGTTTGCTTAACAAGGGGAACGATCTGCCCGAAACGCTTTGCGTAATAGTGGCTTTAGGCATTGTATGTACTAGCTCTATCTATAAATTCATCAATTTTTGTATCACCCCATGTATGTATGTATTTTACCTAAATAAACATTTGAATTTGAATTTTTTGAATTTGAGAATCTTTGTATTGTAACTGCAACTATGTATGTACTGTTCCTAAATAAATTATTATTATTGTTATTATTATTATTATTATAAACTGCCAATTATATGATTACTGACGAGAGCACAATAGTGAAGAAGTCTGACACTGGCGGAGTTTATGAGACAACCAACGACATTAAAAGACTCCAAACATTTGTCTCTTATTCTTAAATCACAAAAAAACACTTATCAGTAATTTATGTAAACACACTTTCCTTGAACACTCCACGTGGTGATATTAGTCTCTTACTGCAAGCACTCGACTACATATTTTATTCATTCTAATAAAAAAAATGGCAAAATGGATGATTCTACCTAATCATTCAACATACCCAATTGCAGAGTAATGTATAGAATCTCTAACTCAGACGCGAGTGAATTCAACACTAACAGCAGAATCTTAATAATAACAAACGAAGTAAAATTACTAACTAGCTCATCAAGATTGAAACTTGCTTGGCTAAATGAATTGTGGGGTTCAGTCCCTGAGCCCATTATGGGCCTCTGTAACCCTTTCCACTACCGCCCACAAGATGGGTATGGGGTGCATAATAAATGAACTAAACTAACCTAAATGTTTGCTGGTAAATATAACATTGACCTCTATCAACTAAATAGCCCACAGGTCACTAGCCTCCACAACTGCATGAACTACTGTACGCTGGTACCCACGATCACGGAGCGTACAGTAGATCTTAATTACTCGGAAATTTAATTGCACCCTTGACCACATCTGGACAAACATCTCCTCTCCTCCAACTCGGGCATATTCAGTGCTGGGTCAACTGGCCATTAACCAACTTGACTTTCTTGTATAAAAGACATAAACTGGAAATATTTAACACTGTGGCCACAGACACGCGAATATGTCGTCGGCGAAGTCTTGGCAGTAATAAAGAGCTGCGTATAATTTGCTAATAACAACTTTATATGTCTAAGGCAAAATAAACTTCCTTTGTTATTATGTTATCTGCTGAGCTGTTCTAGCGTTACAATGGTTTTTACTTTCCCATAATATGAACAAACCTCAAGTGTGAAAATAACCCGAGACAGGAAGGCAAACTTACAATTAATGGGAAAGACGTAAATGAAGTGATCTCGTACCTATTTAGCTGTTTAACTTATGACGAACAACATAACTGGAACCAACTCCAGTCCATTTTACGGATGTAAACATTAAACCTCACTTATGTATCCACATCCGTATATGAACGGTCAAGGTTAAACTGCATTAAATATTACCAATAAGCAAAAACGGTTCGTCATACATTGGCAACAGAGATTAGCGCCATGTTTAATCACTCAGTCACGGAACCAGCCACCTGCTCCTCGTGGGGGTACATCGCTGCCTCACGTAAGCGGCGTCCCTGTGGCAATGGGAGCTGCTCATAATCCCCATATCTGCATGAACTAGGCTGTTACACATACGTCAGGCTGCGAGCAGCCGCATCCAACAGCCTGGTTGATCAGTCCAGCAACCAGGAGGCCTTGTCGACGACTGGGTCGCGGGGACGATAAGCCCCGGAAGCACCTCAAGGTAACCTCAAGGTATGAAAGAGACCGGTTGCCGTATCCAAGATAATATAAAACTAAGTGAGCCTGAACCCACGAGGCTTCTGCAGGCCTCGCGGCATAAGTGTATCTCTGTGGCTATAATGTCTCAAAGGGAGTTAGAGGGAAGCCATTAACGTAGTTATTAAGTCTCAAGTAATCGTAGTCATTGATGTGTCTGGCTAGTCAAGTGTACTTTGTACTTCTCAACCTCATGTAATGATGTAAGTAATGTTATTGTGCGAAAGCTGCAAAAGGTGTTCAAACATAAAAATTACTATTGTATTCTAGAAGAAATTGACTATTTAAATATTAGTATATTTTGGTAGCAGTCTTTCTTGTAAACATATGTTGTTGAATATGACCGAAAAAGTAAGATTAATAATTCTAACACGATTTTTTTCAATATTTCTTATGTTTTTCTTCACTGTCGGTGGTAATAATTTTATTACCACCGACAGGGAAAAAAAACATAAGAAATATTGAAAATATTCGTGTTAGAATTATTAATTTTACTTTTTCGGTCATATTCAACAACATATGATATATAAATATAAACATAGATTTCATATAAAGTTCATATAAAGAAACGGTTTATATAACAAGAAATTTGCAGGGAACCTAACCCGGAATTAGCGTTGAGGACAAGTATGCTATATGCTAGTCGTATATTTCTGAGTTACTCCTTCACCTTTATCTCAAAATCACCAAAAACTGCTAAATAGAGATATTTACAAATGTAAAATACTTCAATATAAAGTGATTCTATGACTTAACCTACTTGTGTATGGTTACCATGAATAGTTTGAAAGGCATGGCAGTTTGAATGCAATCTAAGGAAGCTTTTCCTTTGTTTCTTATGGTAAGCAGTTAGTCAACCTTAACTTTACTCAATTTTGGATTTGATGTATTAGTTAAAGGTCTTGGCTGTTTTTTAGTTCGGATATCCTGGCGTCATGAAGACGTCTCAACAATGACGTCAGGAGAAAGTGCTTGTTTGAGTGTGCATAAAACAAGAGGTCATGACCCGCCCTCGACAACATTAACATGAAATATTACTTCATTAGGCTTATTTATGGATGAAAAAAATACATGATTAAAAAGGAGTTGAATACAATAGCAAAAAATATAACCCTATTTAGTGCAGTGGTCAGGAAATAGACTAATAGGCCTTTTGCAGTCTCATCAGTTCTTGTTTAGATTATGGATAATAACACAAGACAATTGAACAAAGATCATTTTCCGACTATCCAACCCTATAGATATCGTTAGGTTAGGAAATATTACGCTCGGTTGGATTAGGTTAGGCTTCTGTGGATTAGGTTAAGTTAGGTAGGTTGGGTAAGGTTAGGTAGGTGGACTTGCATCCTCCACCAAGCATTTAAGCTTAAAACTCCTCCCACTAGAGGCCGGAGCCCCGCCTCACACCGCTGCGCCAATGAATATAGACTCGAGGCAGGCACATCAGAAGCCAGTCAGCCAAGTGACACCAGAGGCGCGATCAAAAGGAGCAGGATTGAAAGAGTTCTCACTTCAGTGTCGACATAATGGAAGAGGACGACCAGACAGACAAGAGAGAGACTCCAGAGTGCGGTGAGGGTGTTCACTAAGGAGATAAATGATTAGACCTCTTTATATGTCTTTAACAAATAATTATAATTATGTATAGGATTCAACCTTTGGTTATTAACATGCTGAGAGTTAATGAGGTGCTCAATAACCAGCCAATTGTTAATGACGTGCCCATTAACCAGCCAATTGTTAATGACGTGCCCATTAACCAGCCAATTGTTAATGACGTGCCCATTAACCAGCCAATTGTTAATGATGTGCCCATTAACCAGCCAATTGTTAATGACGTGCCCATTAACCAGCCAATAGTTAATGACGTGCCCATTAACCAGCCAATTGTTAATGACGTGCTCTTTTACTACAAATGTCTATCACTTCGATTGTCTAACTAAATCACAATACAAAACTTGTAAATATTTCGAATTACATGTTTTGCTTACTTGTAAATTATATGTCTTTGCTGTCGTAAATTACGTTAATTGCTTTGTTATGAATTACGGGTCATGCTCTGTTGAAAATTACGAGTCTCGTTTTGCTGTAAATTACGTGTTTTGGTGTTGTAAACTACGTGTTCTGCTTTACTGTAAATTAAACACTAAAACTTAAATAGAACAAATTTAATTATCGTCAATAGAATAACTAAGCAGTCCAAAAAGCAAATGGAGTGTGAATTATTAAACTAAAATAATAACTAATAAATGTTTTATCACCGCAAAATAAAGTCGCGGTAGTCCAGCATTAAATTAAATACATTTTGCAAGTTTACAGAGCATTTATGCTCCGCCAGCATTAATAAGCTTTAAGAAGATAATATCATTAACTGATCATGTAAATGAATTTACAGTTCAAATATACTTCAATTGTTTTTTACCGATACAGATTGATAAGAACTGGCAATTATGAGGAGCCTTGTGAGGCGGGTCAGGTGAGGATATGTGTGAGTACCCTGGCCAGGACCAGGGGCCAGATTCACAAAAGCACTTACGAACGTTTGCATCTTTTTTCAATCTTTGGCAGCTTTGTTTCCAATTATCAAACAGTTAATGAGCTCCGAAGCAACAGGAGGCTGTTTATAACAATAACAACAGTTGAATGGGAAGTTTTCATACTTGTAAACTGTTTAATAAATGTAACCAAAACCGTCAAAGATTGAGGAAAGATGTACATGTTCGTAAGTGCTTGCGTAAGGGCTTTCGTGAATCTGGCCCCAGGTGAGGCCATTTGAGGACCATTGTGAGGAGCCTTGAGACAACAAGTGAGGACGCTTGAAGACTTCTCAAACAATTTGTCCTCTTGAATAATACATCGTTTTTTCATATCAAAAGCCCCCAACGGACCAAATATGATGTACTATAAATCATAACAGCTTGCAAACATTTACGTTTTCTAACCGTGGGCCCCATAGGTTACGTTACGCTAGCTTTGATTCGGGAAATTTAGCACATGGTTTTATGTTATTTGTGCATTTACAGTCCCGCTCCTGTGCCAGGTAAGTCCCTCACGGGCTCACCATTGCCCGTGCTGCTTGAAACTATCTGTTCCGAGAAGCTGAGTCTGAAACAACAACATCTGTCTGTTGTGACAACTCGAGAGGTCGAGCTGTGTCAAGACGCTAGTCAGGACTTGTCAGGAAATTCGAGGACTTGTGAAGACCCTTGTTAGGTCCCCTGTACTTGTGACCCTGGGTTAAACACACCGCAGTCCTTCCTGTCATTTGTCGCTAAGACTATAAAAGACTTACGTTTCTGCCGTAATAAAACCGACACTTAAAATTGGATTTATATCCCTTGCAATTCATCAAAAGATCACTTAGAACCCAGTGCAAGTTCATGCAAAGCACATCCCGTTACTTAGGTGTCGAATTTGTTGAAGACATAATTGATCAGGGATGATAAAATGCAGAAATCCTTCTTATATATTAGCCTTCGTGACGAGATTAGCATTCTTTGGATAAGTGCGACGCAAAACATCTACCAATTTAAATCTTTAGCAAGATGCTGAACTCATGATATTATAACAAGATTATCACGCCAGGTGTTATATTTTGAAGAGAGAGAGAGAGAGAGAGAGAGAGAGAGAGAGAGAGAGAGAGAGAGAGAGAGAGAGAGAGAGAGAGAGAGAGAGAGAGAGAGAGAGACAAACACGTGGAAAACGAAATCAAGTTAGAACAAAGGTACATAACGAAGCGTGACTTAAAAAGGGCTCTCCCTTCTGCGTCTCGTTCAGACTGGCGACGTTCAGCAGCGCACAAGGAGCCGCTGGATCTTCGTGCTCTGAGCCAGACCAGCGTGACTCAGGTCATCTGCAGCGTCCTCTCCCTCAGCACCGAGTGCAAGGTGGGATGACTTCAGTGTTTTTCTCCTTTCATGCTATTTTTGTCTCTTGTTTATCCTTATTTATCAGTCTCTAATAATATTATTTACATTCTGCATTTCTACCTGTCAATTGACACACTATACTTACAAAAAAAAAACTATTTAAACATAAAGGTTGTTTTACAGATACAGATATGTTTTTTATGTGAATTTATGTAAAGTATATCTTATTAACAATATTATAATTTCCATATGTAATGTATACCATATTTTTATGCTCTATGACAAGACTGTGTTTGCCTTGACAAATTCAAATGATAATGGTCTTATTTTGTTACGTTGATCATATTTCCTTATCTTGTGTGTGTATTATATTGCACGTATTCCTAATTCAACATCCATGCTTTTTCCAATATGTTTCCTCGCTTCTTCTCTCGAATTCAACTCTCTCTCTTGCTTTAATAGATTGACTCCCTCTTGGATACAATATTGCGCATCCTCACCACAAGTAACACCCTCGTCCTTTCGACTAATATGTCTCGCTCTTTACGTTATCTAACCGATGTTACAGATGCAACCTATTCACATCAAAAGTGGCAAATCAAGAGAGCGGGAAGCTGCATGCGTAATGCGTTACGATGTGTAAAGTGGCTCTTCTGAATACTACATCTACTAATTACAGTTCCATATTTGTATTCCTAATCGTGCTATCTATTGACTATTATCATGTGAGATGTTAATTAACTTTGTTTTCGTTCTATTAGATTATTAGATTTCTTTGGTCTGTCACTCGGTCATTCTCCTAGTTTCTGACCTCATTCATTTCAGTTTTTCAGTTTTCCTACTTCAATTTCCAATTCTTCTTTGCATTAATTGTTTATTATTGCCGTTTCGCCCTTATAGTAAGTGTCAAGTTTTAACCTTTGTTCAACCATTTCTTCAACCCATTTCCTTGCCAAAGTGCTCTATTGCTTAGCTAGTTCATCCCTCATTCATATCATTCTGTTCTAGTATTCTCTTACTGCCCTTCTACTTTCCTCCGTGACTAATGGATCTCGTTGCATGCTGCCTGACTACATTAGACCATCCGGCCCAGCCGGCTGTATCATCCCCAGACACCAATGGTGAGTGATGTGGCCACTGAGGTCGTCTTCTCCGGCTTGCTTCTTGTCGCTGTATGTTTACATCTCTTAGTTTGATCACCTAATTACTACCTGATGATGCTAACGTAACGTGTCCTGGTTTTACTCTTTCCCTTTTTATCTTGGATCTTTTTTCGTTATTATTTCTGTTTTCATTTCGTTTATGTTATACCAGGTTGCTGTTTCACTCGTCATACAAGTACACACAATCCGGACAATTAATAAAAATTTAAAACTTTAATTTTAACGCCTATGTGACTCTTTTCAATGTGTGTGTGTGTGTGTGTGTGTGTGTGTGTGTGTGTGTGTGTGTGTGTGTGTGTGTGTGATGTTATGTCGATTAATATCTATTGGCTTATCAGCACTGCCATTAAATTTTTACAATATTACAATTTTATATGTTAACCATAATCGGAATACTGTTCAAAAAACCATGTTTTTCTTCAGGACTTCCGTACTGCGTGTTGCTGGCTGCACACCTCTCTCCCGGTGGACCTGCGGACGTCGGTTATGAAGGAAGTCGCTTCTTTACAAGACCTTCAGGACACAGAGCGCGTCCTGAAGCTTATCCTGTTCCACCTTCTTGCAGATGTTGCCCATATCTGCCTCGTAGTTAGAGCCAATACAGGAAGGAATATGAACTTGATACATAAGTACACCGAGTATTTACTACAGGAGCTGGAAAGCATTCCCAGGTTGAGCCTACAGAGTCTACACCTGGATGGAGTGTGGATGGATAGGAACATCATCTCGCAAATTCTTCGACGATCTCCCAATATCCGTTCTATACAGGTCTCTGGAAATCTTTGTAGGGGTGTTCTAAATTTCCTACGGGAAGAGCATTGTAAACTTCGCTCACTGCACCTAATCTCCTGCACTGTGAATGACGAAGAAGTAGTTTCTGCTCTAGTAGGAACTGGCACTGATTTTTGCACTCTAGGAAACATCGTATGTTCCGGAGGCGACGTCACGCAGACCGTTAGTGTGGCACTCGAGTCTTTGAGACATTTGACTGTCCAGTCGCCCCTGGTGTCTGTGTGCGGGGCCATGGTGTTGCTTCACTCACTGCGAGAGCTACGCTTCATCCAGTACAGAGGATGGAACTCTCCTGTCAGCGACACTCTTCTCCTACTTCAAGAGGTTTGTCCTCGGTTCGCCTCGTTCGCTCTCTCGTCCATTGATCTCTACAGGCCATCGAACAAAACAGTCGAGAACCTGATGGTTTTGTGTCCAAAATTACAAGAACTCATGATCGAATACACTGAACCTAACCTTTCCTCTCTCGACTCTCTCTCAGGAGCCCAACAGCTAGCGAGTCTCACCTTAAGAATAGTCTCAGAGGAACTTATTGTGTCGGCAGTGAAAGCTGTTGGCAAAAATCTCTTGAAACTGAAAATAGAATTTGAGAACTTTACCTTCCATCCAATCTCGATGGAAACGGTCAGTACCATCCAAGAGAAGTGTCCTCGCCTCCAGTCTCTAGAGATGCTGCATGTCAATGTAAGGCAAAATTCAAATGATCTTTTGCCTTTATCAAAGAAAGATCTCTTCCCAGAACTCGAAACATTAATCCTGCAGAGTTCCCTAATCCAGCCTGCTCTACTGGAACGGCTGATCCGAGGCAACAAGTATCTAGAACACCTAGTGCTCGACGTAAACCAGGACGCCCTTACAGACCAGCTACTGCAGCGTCTGTTGAGTGATAATGACCTGCATCTCCTAAAAATAATATTCCTGGGCGCTGGAAGCTTGTCCTCCCGGTCCATCGCCTCTCTGGTGGCCCTACCATCCCTGTCCAAGCTATCCCTCGTCCTCAAACGCTTTCCTTTTATTTCCATGTCAACCTTTAGTACTCTCGAGGCCAACCTCGTCAAAGGGAACTATTATTGTGTTCTTGAAAACGTCTATGAAGATTGACAACGCAACTCTCACTGTATATATTTCAAATGTCTTATGTTTAATTGAGAATGAATCTCTGTATAAGTTTGTGTAAATGTCTTTGTAAATTATTTGTGCTTCTGTTCTGACGAATAAAGAAAATATTTTATTCAAACAAACACAAATATCCATTTGACTGAATTACGATCCATAAAAATATAGATATTATCGATCGTAATTTACTCAGATGCAGGAGATATATAGTCGCAAACCCATGTCTCTTCTGTCTGTATTCCCTGAAAATGTGTTGAAATACGAAAAGTTCGGATAGTTAGGCGAGGTTAGATTTAATTAAATTTCTATGTTAGTTGTAACTCAAATAGAAACAAAAATACACATCGTCCAAGAAAGCTGCATCTAAACGTATATGACACTTTTTTTGTTTTTTTGTTTTTTGCGCAAATATATAAAATGCGCAACGGTGATGTTTCTTCAAGCAGATGTGAATGAACGCTTTACTAGTACACTTTCATATTTACAAACACTCTTTTTCCATTTCCTTTACCGAGTCTGATAAAAAGAAAAATCTATTCACGACGGAACGTTAATTCCTCTCTGGGCAGCTTACTCAGCCTTTCAAAATGTGTGTCCGAGAAGTCTTAGTATATTCAGGACATATATCAGGAATATTTAATGAGTTTTACCGGTGTTATTTCCCCAGTCGGTGAGGCTCTTTGATCTCTCGTGACTGCGTTTGTGAGATAAGGAATTTGAGTCACGGTAAAAATGGTTCTTGAAAGTCATTCAATTTTTAATGTGTAAAAATTGCATTTTATTTTAAGTCCCCCGTTAAAATGTACAGTTAATGTAAAACTGAATTGCGGGTCTCACTTTAGTTAAGGTAACAACCATGTTTACAGTTACATGTGTGAAAATTTACATGTTAACAACCATGTTTACAGTTACATGTGTGAAAATTTACATGTTAACAACCATGTTTACAGTTACATGTGTGAAAATTTACATGTTAACAACCATGTTTACAGTTACATGTGTGAAAATTTACATGTTAACAACCATGTTTACAGTTACATGTGTGAAAATTTACATGTTAACAACCATGTTTACAGTTACATGTGTGAAAATTTACAGTAGCCAAGCACAAAATATAAATAATTACCGGACATCATAACATGGCAACAATGGGGGATAATTTAAGTAACTTCGGCCCTGAAAACAACGAGATTATTAAACTACCAATTTCCCGAGACTTATCATACGGAGAGCGTCCACCCTGCGGGTACCCACACTTCTCTACCACACTAACAATAGCACGCCCGGAATGAATTAACACCATTCACATCCGCGGTTGGCTAAATCTCTTAAAATTGTATTTGAAACATAAGGAAATAGGAACATACCTTAAAAGTGGTTGATTCTTGTCGTTCGAAGAGCTATCATTCTTACCTATAATGACATGAAAGCAAATTAATAATATTATTTAGCGTAATACATTTACTCATTTCAATCCTCGTACACCACACATACATACATATATATATATATATATATACAGCCAATCACAGTTATTGTAGAATGTCCCATACTGACTGACTTTCGCCCTCCTGGGCTAAGGTATGCTGAACTCTGTAGTTACTATATGAGTACTGGAACACTTGATGATATATTGGACTTGTATCCAAAATTGACCATGTAATGTATCAATCATACAATGTATGTATGTGATGTAACTATATAACCTGAGCTTGTAAAAGCACCTTCATCACCTTCAGTGATTAAGTGCTTAATTGCACACTAGTTTCTTTATCAGCTACCTCACCCTGTCAGGGTAAATGAGACAAATGTATGTGAATGCATGTATGTGTGTATATATGTATGTGTATGTGTGTGTGTGTATGTATATGTATGGGTATAAAGCAAATATGGAAGCTGATCAGAATTACATTTCACCTTTGTGAATGTACATTAATGACACTATGTAAAAGACACATCTAATACTTTATGTAGGGCGTACGTAAATCTGTGTATCTTTGTATTTACGTATGTAGGTTAGCTTAGCATTTCAAAAGCACCGAATCACCTTCTGTGGTTGAGTGTTCAATAAACCCTTGAACTGTATGTTTAACACTTCTCTAACCCTGTCCATGGAGGACAGAAGAAAATGTATATATGCTGGTTAGCATTGTAAATGTGTGGCCACGTCTGTGGTAGAAAATAATAAAAAAAAAAAAAAAAAAAAAAAAAAAAAAAAAAACAGTTCAGTCCATATTCCATAACTATGTGAAGGGGCGTTTAGTGATCGAGGAGTTGTTTACCTTAAAAGACGAGTGTGCCACGTGTAGGGAGGTCAACACTGCCCTCAACATGGGCGCCTCAACAAATATTAGAAGACGTAAACATTCCACACTGGACGAAGAAACGGAGTTGCCGAGAAGCATGTAATTACACCACAGAAGTAAAGGAATGTCTTTGGTTTTTCCTACCAAACACTAAACTATCCCGAGTCACCCTTCAGTTACGTACTGAAATAGAGGCGTTTCCTGCCCTGTACTCACTATAACACAACAAACTAGTCATAACACGCATATTGGTCGTCACAATTACAGCATTAACTGTGAACACATGCTGCTTTTATCCGGCAGTAGTGGATTGTAAAGCTTCCAGTTTCACTTTCGAAGTTCATGTAACACTGACCACAACCTAATCTTCACTAACAATAACCGGCACTATAATGGGCCAACCTGCGCAAGTAAAAGCCTGTCATCAGGTTAGATTCGTTAAAGCTGTTACCGACGCACCCAGACGAATTAATGAATTTTAGTGTATTTTGTATTAAAAATAGATTTGTTCTCATTTATGATAATATAATTTTGTTTAAAGTTTTATGTACAGTGAGGCGTAGGTTTGGTTAGGTTACGTGTTTAGATTCTGGTGGGAAAAATTTGTATTTGAAGTACGTGGGTGAAGCCTTTTAGCAACCCGTCCCCGACTCAAGTCCATTACATCCAGCGGTCGACCCCACATACGTATTCATAAATTTTTACATGCTGTTCATTCAAAACAGTAATTTTTTCATATATATTAATATTATATATAATGTATTAGCATATTGTGCATATATAGGAATAGGTTAGTTAAGTGTTTAGGTTCTGTTGGCGATTATTTGTATTTGAAGTACGTGGGTGAAGCATTTATAGCGTTGTGATTCGAACAAAATTCGTCAGTGAAGCCCTTGTTTCGGAAGTGTTCGGACGTCAGCAGTTGTGAGTCGTGTGTAAACCGCTTTTCATTCATAAACAGGGGGTTTGGCGGGTGGATGGAATTACTTTTGGATCTTTGTTTGGAGGACGGGCTGCGACTCACAACTGATGACGTCCGAACACTTCCGGAACAAGGGCTTCACTGACGAATTTTGTTTGAACCACAACACTGTAAATTCTTCACTCACTTACTACAAATACAAATAATCGCCAACAGAACTTAAACACCTAATCTAACCTAACCAGTGGCAAAATATGCATAGTATGCTAATTTATAACCATACTAGCTGAACCCAGCCACAGCAACCCTCTCTTATCCCCCTGTCCTCCCCACCATTACCCACTCTTCCATCCCCTCATTCTCCCCACAATTCCCCTATCCCCTCGTCCTTCCCACCATTCACCACTCCCCTGTCTCCTCGTCCTCCCCACCATACCAAATTCCCCTGTCACCTGTCCTCCCCACTCCCTCATCCCCTCGTCCCCAACATCCCCAACTCCCCCGTCCCCTCGTCTTTCCCACCATTCCCCCACTCCCTCTTCCGATGAGTTTCCAAATTATCTGATGTTCCCATCAGAAAAATGGAAACATCAAATGATCTGATGTTCCCATCACTGAAAATTAAATAGAACAGTTAAAAAAGCGAAAATAAAAACAATGAGAAAATTAAAAAGTAAATTATACTCACGAAATTAATAGAATGGTAAACAACACAGCTCAATTCCAACGCAATGTCACACAAAATAATTACACCAAAATGAAATAAATCGAAATCTATGAAAATTCTATTTATCAATGCAATCGGAAACATTGAAATGGAATTGTAACATATTTAGAATAGCGTGTGTTGCTATTACGTGCAACAGATAGCGCTGTTTAAAAAAAACAACGTTTTTTTACCTGTCACTGATGTGGCATCTATATAGTAAGTATAGAAAAAAACGCGCGTATTCAAATGGAACGTTGTGTCAATCTTTCAAAGCAATCGGTGAAGAACTTTTGGAGATTACAGGGTATGTTGCTCTTACGTCCAAAAGATGGTGCTGTTAAAAAAAAGGCATGTTTTTTCCGGTCACTGGTGAGGCATGTATGTAGTAGGTATATAAAATCAAGCACCTATTCGAATGCAACGTTGTGTCAAAATTTTAAAGCAATCGGTAAAGAGATTTCGAAGATTTCAATCACATGAAAAACACATGAAAAACACAGTTTTTTAAAAAAGCATGTTTTTCCCCGTCACAGATGTGACATCTATATAGTAGGTATATAAAAACACACTCGGATGCGAATGAAACGTTGTGTCAAAATTTCAAAGCAATCGGTGAAGAACTTTCGGAGATTAGCAATTTTGAACAAACGAACATTTTCATTTATATTTATATAGATTAATTTATTTTTGAGAAAATTTTTATTTTGGATGGAATGGACTTGGTCTGAGGACGAGTTGTTTATTTCATATGTTCGAAGCGAACCTCTCTAAACCACAACCCGTCCTCGACTCAAGTCCATTACATTCAGCGGTCAACCCCACAGACACATTCATAAATTTTAACATGCTGTTCATTCAAAACGGGAATTTTCGCAAGCATAAATTAATATTATAATATATTAGCATATTGTGTATATATAGGCATAGGATAGGTTAGGTCAGGTGTTTAGGTTCTGTTGGCGATTATTTGTATTTATAGTACGTGGGTGAAGCATTTATAGCGTTGTGATTCGAACAAAATTCGTCAGTGAAGCACTTGTTCCGGATATGTTCGAACGTCAGCAGTTGTGAGTCGTGTGTAAACCGCTTTTCATTCATAAACAGGGGGTTTGGCGGGTGCATGGAATCACTTTTGGATCTTTGTTTGGAGGACGGGCTGCCATGCACCCGCCAAACCCTCTGCTTATGAATGAAAAACACACGACTCACAACTGATTTCGTTCGAACACTTCCGGAAAAAGTGCTTCACTGACGAATTTTGTTCGAACCACAACGCTGTAAATGCTTCACTCGCGTATTACAAATACAAATAATCGCCAACAAAACGTAAACATCTAACTTAACCTAACCTACGCCTATATAGGCACAATATGCTAATATATTATAATATTAATTTATATTTAAGAAAATTCATGTTTT